TGTGCTTGCAGATGCTCTTGACTTCTTAAAATCCAGCAGGTTTAGGGCAAGCATTGAGACTGGAGGGAGCTTATCACAGAACAGTCTGGAAACTCTACAGCAGGAAGAAAGATGGCCAGCTTACTTCATAGCACCTTCCTGACAATTGTTGTGATCTCTCTGTCCCCTCGTCCTGCCATGACGGTTTTGGAATCATTACATGGCTTCAGAACATTCTGACCTACTCGATATCAGCTTGATTGTACCATTATATTGCTATTGCAGTGAGGCCACTTTATATTTTATACTTTTGAAAATTCTTATGCTGAAATTATTACTTTTGACATATACAAAAGCCCTGTCAGATAGACAGAATAGTTGTTGTCTACATTTTATAGAGTAAAACACTGAGAATCAGAGATTCAACAATCTGCTTAAGATCACTGGCAAAGCCAGAAACTGAGAGCAGATCTACATTTCTTGCCAATACTGTGTTCCTCCCTAGCTGACAATGGTACCAGGCACTTACTCTCAAAGTTGGATTTATATTAAAAAATTATTCCACCACTTAGTTAAGATAATTGCAGGGCATTGACAACATTTAGATTTTTATGCTTAATTATGAATTAAAGTAGATTTCATTGCACACAGCCCTGCCCATTTAAAAAAATTCACAAAATAAAAAAGACTTGAAGTTAGTAAGATCTGCTTTCCAGTGATATTGACTCATAAACTAAAGGTCACTATTCAACATAAATCCTGAGTTCCTGGATTTAAAGCAAATGCCAGTGACAATCAATACTAGAGGGAAATTATACTCCACAAAACTATAGTGGAAAGTCCACTTTCCCTCAGAAGTTCTCTCCCTCTCACTCCTCTCCTCCATTCTTCTCTCATTTCTTCTGCTCCACCTACCCATCCTTAGCACGACTGTCAAGTGTCTGTGTACATTATCCATTCATTGTTTTGATAAAAAATGGGTCTATTCCAATGTCATTTTCCTAAAGGGTCCCTTGAATCTTGCCAGAATGATTTATGAAGGGAAGGAAACATATTAAAAAGAATACGAATTAAAGGATGAGATGGAAATTTTTGTTAATGCAGTAATTTCTTCCTTCATACATTTATTTATGCATAAATTTCTACCTCTTTTCAAAAGAGATAGTCACTAATTGATATGTATGCCAAAAGGGTTAACAAATTTAAAATCGTAATAAGAATCAGGACCAAGGAAATGAGGAAACAAAGATGTGAATGGTGGGGATTAATGACTGTGATACTGCTCTTACTGACTAGATCACTGAATAAGGGCCTTGGCTTTATGGCAGACAAGACAAAAGAAAAAATCATGGTCAGTTCTAATATTTTGCTCTTAGAAATACAATGTTATAAAATTTTGATTTTTGTTTCTCTGCAGGAAGAAAGAAGAACAAATGGTCTTATGTTTAAGATTCTGATTTGTTTCCTCTTTTAAAATTGTCACACCTTCATACATGGCTCTTATCTTTCCTGCTCCATTTGACTCAAAGAGTATGCTGGCTTAGGGCTGCTCTGACAGCCACCTTGCCCTCTCTGTGTGTAAAGCAAATGCCTTTAAACACAAATGCTAAGCAAGGCTTCTTACCAAGAAAGTTCCTTGCTTACTTTCTCTTCTACTTTCTGCTTTCATATGGCTCATGGGACACAGAACAAAAAAGCCAAATATCTTATTCTTCCTCCTGCGTCCTTGATTCTCACACATGGCGCAAGAGTGGTAACTTCATCCAGGCCTATCTCTCTCTCTCTCTCTCTCTGAAATGCAAGGCATGCCCCTCACCTTGAGCTAGCAGCCAGGGTTATCTGGGCAGTCTTCCTAGCTGCTCCTGTTGTTTTTCCTCTACCACTGGTAGATGTGTTTCCATGGACATTTTCCTAGAGTAAGGTTGAGGATTCACCTAACCACTTCATTCTGGAAGGGCTTTTTCCTTTCAGAGTAGGTAGGCAGAGGTATCAGAGCAAGCAGGGTAGTATCTAATAGAGCCTTGCATTGCTTCCTAAAACAGGAGTATTGTTGGACAGAATCTGCAATCACAACATTATAACATGCAGAACTATTTTTCACAGGACTTAACAATAATTTGCAATAAAGGATAAAACAACATTAAAAGACAACTTGGAAAAAATGTTTCCATAAGAGTCAAAGCTAAAAGATTTAAAATATGTGATTTATGAAATCTCTAAACTAGAGAAGTAGGTGGAGAACATTATTCCTCAATGCAGTCATGCATTTATTAGTCCTTTCTTCCTGAAGTTGGATTTTTGAGAAAAATAATTGTTGAGACAATTTAGAATTGTGCTTTTTGATCAGGGACTATGTGGATGATCAAGGGAACATCTATGGGCTTTGGAAACCAGATGAATGAGAAGGTAGTTGGGTGTATATTCTTTCAAGAAAATAACATAACTAATGTTTTTACATACATAAGTTTATCACTTCACATGTGTATAAAGGATAACCAGAAAAAAATTACCTAAAACAAAGTAGACTAGAAGCAGCTTTGAATTTTCTTGGGTATTTGAAGCTTTTTTTTTTTTTAACATCTAGCTTCTTTTTCTATTCAGTTCCCATTTTTACTTTACTTTTCATCTGAGCTATTGTAAAGTAGATAGAACATAAGCTTGTCACTTTTCCATTTTATGGATTTTTTTAAATATTTATTTTTTAGTTTCAGCTGGGCACAATACCTTTATTTATATGAGGTGTTGAGGATCGAACCCAGGGCCCCACACGTGCTCAGCTTTACCGCTGAGCCACAACCCCAGCCCCTATTTTATGGATTTTTCTAAAGAAATATAAAAAAAAATGCTCACTAACAAAAATTTAGTAACCAACTAAAAATTTTCCAGGAAGTCATAAAGGAAGATAGGCTATTTATAAACTAACAAAGAGATAAATTTAGCAGAACTAGTGACCCTAGTCATCTTTGGCCAGATATGTTATTTATCACTGATGATCAGTATACTCATTGCAATGTTAGCAAACACACCTGTGTATCTATTATCCCAGTAAAAGTGTCTGACAACCAAGTAGAAAAACCATCCTTGGGTTTGAGGGAGCAGAGCTCCCCTGGAGGAAATCCATCTCTGAATAAACCTCAGCTTTGTACTTCTTTGAACAAGAAAATCAGGAATTCATGAACTTACCATCTGAGGAGGGTGAGATGATGATAAGATGCAAATCATAAAGCTAAGATTTGCTTAGAGGGTATTGTTTTCTTAGATCCACCATGCTACTTCCTCACATTCACTATGACAGCTCATATAGAGAGGCCATTTTTCAAGGCTGAAGGAGGCTTCAAACAGAGTAGAGTCTTAGCAGCTGCACCTGTTTCTTTATCGCAATGTGGAAAGATTCCATTGGAAAATGCACTCAGGTTAATATCGAAAAAGGCATTTGCTTTTAAAAGAATGAGAAATTCACATGGTAATTGTTAAACTAGGGATTAGTTTTAGAAAGAACTTCAGAATGCAGAATATACAAGATTATGTGTTTACTGAATTCCAATAAGTGAAAAACTTGATTCATTGTATGTTATATATTTTCCAGAAATTGTGCATCTTTGACAGTTTTGGAACCCTGGTCTTTGCAGTATTTATGGGAGTTTGGGGTAAGTTATTTTCATTTCTATGCACAAAATTAATAGTATTATACAGTTCTACATAGGTCATCAAATTACCCACTTTTATGATCATTTATTGCCTAAACTTCAGCACCCATAAGAACTTCATTTATACGTCTACCCTTGTGTCAGTTAGGTTTTACTATTTAAAAAAACCAACTTCAAAATACAGTGGCTTAAAGCAACAAACCTTATTTCTCATTTTATGATTTCTCACAATATGTAAATCAGCTGGAAGGTTCTTTAGGCTCACCTGATCTCTGCAGTGAGCTCGTGGCTCCCTTGGGGGAGTAGATGGTCTGGTAATTACAAACCTGGTTTGGTCTTTCAGGCTCATCTGGGAAGGCTTTTCTCTGTTCCACAAGGTCTCTCATCCTCAAATAGACAAACCCCAGATTCTTCACATGATTTCAGTGTTCCAGAGAAAAGAAAGACAGAACAAGCCCCAATACACATGCATTTTTAAGTCCATAGTTGCATCAAATTTGCTAATGTCCATCAGAAAAATCAAGTCCTATGGCCAAGCCATCATCCATGTGGGAGAACTCACCCTACCCATGCCTCTTATTAAACTAGATATTAGTTTAACATGGGGCTCATATTTTCACTGGAACCCATTATAGATTGAGTATTCCTTATTCGAAGTGTTTGAGGGTGCAAAAATTTTTTAATTTTGTTTTTCAAATTTTTGAATGGTTACATAGATTTTACCAGATGAACATCCCTAATCCAAAAATCTGAAATCCAAAATGCTCCACACAATCTGAAGTGTTTTTGAGCATGTCAGTGCTCAAAAAGTTTCAGATTTCAGGTTTTCTAATTGGAGATGCCAGCCTGTATTGCAACAGCCCCCACACTATGACTCATCTAATATTTTCTTGGGGTGGGGAGTAGGGGTAAGGAGGAAGCAGCAACACTAGGTTTATGGGTACAATTTCTTCCTTTTATATATGCATGAATATTTAATAAGTACTACTCTTATAATAATAACAACAAATGCCATGTAATAAGTAGAATAGATATATAATCCAAAGGAATATAAGTCTGATGTAGGAATTTGAACACTGTAATTTTTTTTTCTTGGATAACATCATTAATGAGGCAATTATTTAAATGCAGATTTTTAAATGTTTGATGTAAATGTTCTAACATAGAAGGAAAAAAATCCCATTTTCAAAGATAAGTGCATTTCCAGCTTCATTGTGTAAGTCAAGGGACCCAGAGAGTTCAGTTTATAGAAGGTGGGGGAAGGAACTGAACCACGTCTCTCAAGAGAAGGACATGTCACTACATGCAGCTCACAGAAACAGTGATTTGACAGGTGTCCTCAGCAGTATGTCTCTTTGACAGTGGTTGTGCCTTCGAAGGGTCACCAAATGGCCAGTTCTTTGTACACTTTTTAGAGATGTTAGTTGCTGCACTTTGCTAAATTGAACTGTGCTGTGGCCAAACTTATCCAATGAGTGACACTGTCATTCAACTTTTAGCATGTTTTCGCTAGAGTCCACATAAAGAGCAAATTCATGTGTTAGTATCCTCCTTACCCCTCCATTGTAAGACACATCCCCCCCCCCCGAAAGGAATTTAGGTGCTAAACACCTAAACCTGAAATCCAAAATGCTCCAAAATCTGCAGTGTTCTTGACTGTGCACTTAACTCTTGTCTTGGCCGTAGTGTCAGCACTGATTTATAACCTGTCAGATTCCAACACATCTGTTGATGTCTGTATACTAATGGATGCTGATCGCCCCAATTAAAGATGACATTTTATATTAAGCAAAAAAAATTAATGTTCACACTGGAAAGACAAAGCTCAAATTTCTTAGCTAACCTTCTTCCTTTTTCTGATCATTAACTGCACCATGTTTACAGAATTGCCTTATGCATTAGGCTGCTGAATTTATCTCATCTGATTTTAGAATGCCGAAAGCGTTTCAGCACTGCTCACAGCATCATGTGTATATCTTTAAGGATATGTATGTATGATGGACTCTTTATTTTAAGTGCTTTATGTTGCTTTCCTTGTTACTTCTGCCTTATGAGAGCCACTGCTGTGAACCTCGTTATAGAATCTGAAATTGTAGAACTGAATAGGCGGGAGGCTTATGTGAAGTTATTCATATCATCACCATCATATTCCTCATAGCATCTCTTTTGTGCCCAGATGCATATGGCACTAATTTTTCTCCTCTTTGGAAATGACAAAAGTTGAGGGTAGAAAACCTTTTATAAGCAATGTACTACAAATCATATACTTATCTGAAAAATGTTCACCCTTTCAAGCCAAACCAGCCCAACAAATCACGCTGATCATGGAGCCCTGAACACCTCCCATCCTGCCTGTTCCTTGTTCCTTCTGACCTGCTTCTTCTTGGTTCTCCTTGGCTCAGACTAGTGGCTGCATGACTGTCGTTTTTAATTTTTACACTTGAGGGCTTTTAAATGGGGCCTCGTAATTTCCAGAAAAACACTGGACACCTGGATCAATAAGGATCCAGGGAATCAGGAACCTACCTAGCTGTACTTGGGGATGACGAAATAGCTGGCGCAACCATCGGTTTCAGACTGTACTGCTCCTGCAGGCCCATAGTAGCAAAATAACACAGCTCCTGCCACCCCTGCCTCTGCTTCATTCAACTGGGTTTCCTGTTTTGTTTTTTTGTTTTTTTTTGGTAATGGGATTGAACCCAGGGGTGCTTAACCACTGAGAAATCCAGCCCTTTGTTTATATCTTAGAGACAGGATCTGGCTGAGTTGCTTAAGGTCTTTCTAAGTTACTGAGGCTGGCTTTGAACTTGCAATCTTCCTGCCTCAGCCTTCTGAGCCACTGGGATTACAGGAATATACCACCACACCGCTTGGTTTCTGATTTCAGCGATACAGATGCATCTGATTAGCATCTTCAAAGTCACTTCCAGAATCCTAGCTTTAAAAGTCTAAAAATGTAATTTTTAACCTTCTGACCTTAAAGTTAGGAACATACGATGAAGACTGAGCAAGCTAATCTGCCTTTAAGCTTTTGTGAGTAACAAGGTCTGAATAATTTGAAGACCCGTTAAAATATCCTGGGCCTTCAGCAGCAAACTATTATAGCAACCAGATCCCTCCCATCGACCCGAGCATCTCTCTTGTCCTTATACATTGAAGGACGTGACACCACCAACGCTAGATTACCTGAACCCCTCTTTTGTGGACAGGTGTCTGCTTCATCTAATGTATGTTTCTTTAGATGAACTAAAATCATGACTAAAAGGAAAACCCGTTTTTGATTCCCAGGACCCAGACAATCTTCCCTCTTATGATACGTTGGTTCAAGAATTTTTAACTGTCTCATTAACTAGAGCCTCCTGGCAGTGTGGGTTTGCCATGCAGGGCTCCCTTTTGGAGTTCTACTAGTTATTTTATTACAGAGAGAGAACAGAAGATGCAGAACAGGAAATCCTGTCTGGGACACAAGGCATTGTGGGTCAGCACTGATATGGCCCAGTAGTACTCCAAAGTACCAAGTGAGTATACTGAGTGACCAGTACCTTCCACAGACCCCAGAGACTCCTCGGCTGCAAGTGAAATGAGGAACCAAAACTCCCTTGAAGGGTTTGCCTTCAAGTTGGGAATTTGCTAACAACTCATCGTTTCTTGCTGACATTGCAGTCTTAATCACTTACTAAGCAGAATGGCTTCTAAAGTTCAGGATTTAGTAAACCTCAGCCTTTGTGTCCCTTATACATAAGTTCATGCAGGAGGGAAAAGAGCATCCACTATTCTTACTTTTGAAAAGAATTGCTTGTGTGTTTTTTAAATGAGAAAATCTTATTTTCACGAATCATCTCCTGTTCTTACTATTGCTAGATGGGCACTGCATAAATGACAGGATTTTTAAAGATGAAGAAAATGACACTCAAGCAAATTACCTGAGGCCCCATAGACAGAAAATGATAACAGACTAAGAGCTCTGCAAATAATTTGGCTGTTCTCAGCCTTTGGATCATTGACAAAATGCAGTGTATATTAACAAATTTGTACAAGCTTTTAGAAAGATACAGAAATCTTTATTTTAATTGAATTAGTTGCATTATTATGGTTGGAGCTATGAAAAATGGGAATGACTTAATGTTGAATCTATATTCTTGGCTATACCTCATCTGACATAGATACAAGCCCCTTCTTTCTATAACAGGATTTTTTTTAAAAAAAATAGTCTTCCAGTATAATTTTAATAAGTTTATGAAATCAGTACCAGTTTAATTTATGCCTTGGTGCCATATTAGTTTTCCATTTCTATAACAAAATGGCTGATGCTGGATAAAGTATAAAGAAAAGAGGTTTATTTAGTTCACAGTTTTACATATTCAAGAGCACAGCACTAACATCTGCTTGGCTTTGGTGAGGCCACCTTGGCTGTCTCACATGGTAGATGGCATCATAGCAGGAGCATGTGAGGGAGGGAGAGATTAACCTGGTGAAACAAAACCAAAGATCAGGGTGGGGCCAATGTTGCTCTTTTATAACAACCCACTCTCTTGGCAACTTCATGGAGTCCCATGGGAATTACTTAATTCCTCCCAAAGACAGCAGTCACATGCCCTCATCACTTCCTACGAGGCTCTATCTGTTGAAGGTCCCACCACCTCCCAACATCACTACACTGAGGACCAAGCTTCTGGCACTCAAACCAAAGAAGGTGCCAGAGTGCAACAGGATTTTGGTGTCCTTAATCACAATTCTCCTTAAACCAACAGTTATATTCAAAGAAGGTATCTGTAGTCTGTGAGACAGGAGAGGGCAGATGGTGATTCCTACATTCTGTCTACCCTGGACTTGGCCCAGCATGCAGGTGCTAAGAACTGACTGACTCTCCAGGAAAGTGTCAGATTCTCCATGGTATGTTCTTCATCTCAGGTTGCCCAGGATTCTTGCTGGGTACATGGTGGACTGGAGGGCCCAAGTAGAACAGAGAGTGGTGAAATGTGGACAGCTGTGCACAGAGGGGAACAGTGGGCATCACCATCGTGCTCTGACTGGATGGTTCTGCAATGGTGGGATGCCTCCAGTGTTCAGAATTATTTCCTTCAGTTTATTCGTTTAATGCATTCATCTGTTAAGTGCCTACTGGGTGCTAGTACTTCTGATGTGAACAAAATCCCTGCCCTAATGAAGGTGACATTCTCATGGACATGAAATACAGTAAATCTAGAAGCAGATTACAAAGTCAGAAGAAGGATTGACATAATTAAGTGTGCCTTTTTTGAGAGAATGTACCCGATCACAGAAATAATTTCATAGTTGTGGTTTGGGGACAGAGTTGAAAGAACTTTGGGAGTGGAGGTATATGCAGTGGTAGCAGTAGAATACTTGGGTAAATTAAAGTAGGGGTCTTCTGTTTGATGGAGGATATGAGTGTTTACTAGGAAATGCAGAGGGTAGGGGGCTTTAGTAAGTGGAAGGTGTATGTCATGCTGCTTCATAGGTGGCCCATGGGGAGTTGGCTCAGTGGCAGTTCATATCTCCCAACACGGGTCTCTCTGGAGCATCTCTCTCACCGGAGGCCAGCTTGGGTCAGGTGGGCAGCAAGACCAACCAGTCACAGCTCCATCTATACAATTACCTAATGCCCTAAAGGTTTTTATCCCCATGACACAGAGGTAGATACTCAACTCATTTTCTCCTGAACAGGGACAAGGGCACAATACCTGGGAAGCTTCTCAGTGGTGGAGCCGTTGTTTTTTACACCAACACTCAACAAATTTGAGTCCATTCCAACTCAAGGTTATTTCTACTCTAACTTGGAAAGTAGGAGTCAAAAAACACTGTTGGGAAGTGTTTCAGTTGACTTTACCAGTGGAGAACACCGAGTTGTGCTCCTCACAGCCCCATCCCAAGACTTCCTCCTACGTCTCAGACTGCATTCCAGTCTCTTCACCCTCCCCTCCAGTGGTTCTCAACCCAGCCTGCTGGTTAGAGTTTACACACACAGGGTACACATTCTCTCCCTCCCTATACTTAGGCCCCATTCCAGACCAATTAAGTCAGAATCTCAGAGTTGGGGTACCTGGGCTTTGTATTTTTTTTTTTTAACAAGCTCCCCAAATGCTTCTCATGTGCAGCCAGGGTGAGAATTACCACTCTTACCACTGGATGTACACCTCATTTAGTGATCACATCCACTCAGAGTCGGAATGCAGTTGACACTCAAAAAACAAAATTCCTGATTCCACCCAGATCCTCCCCTACATTTTGGATTGAACATCTGCCTACTGGACTCTTCTTCAGAAGCAGGCACCTGGTTCATAACAGAACCAGCTGTCTTCCTTCCTAGATTTGCTCCTCACTGTATTTCTGAAGTAGAGTAAAAGATACTGCACAAGCCAGAAGCCTGGCTGGCATCCTTGACCTCTTCCTGCCCCTTCTCTCGGCCTGCTCAGGATCCCTCAAGTATGCTGCCTTATGTGCCTGTCTGCCAGCCAGTCTCCCTGCCTTCAGTTTCACTCTAGACCACCTTCTGTGTCTCTGTCCCTTTAGGTTCAGATCCCAACTCTTTCAGGTACACAGAGCCCTTTGAAATGCTCCCTAGCAGTTCTCCCACTTGGCTGCCTACCTTTGGTGTCACAACACTTAAAACCCTACCATGTGTCCTGGGATTCTGGCCTCATTGTCTTGTTTTTGTACTGGGACTTGAACCCTGGGGCCCTTTAGTACTATATTCCCAATCCTTTTTATTATTTGGAGAGCAGATCTCACTGTGTTGCTGAAGCTAGCCTTGAACTTGCTATCCTCCTGCTTCAACCTCACTAGGATTACAGGTGTGCTTCACCATGCCCAGCTCCTCCTTGCCTTTTCATGTGCAGCTCCACCTACCACCACTTTCACCCACTCAGCTCAGTCATCCCAAGGCTCAACACAATGGTCCCTCTCCTAGAAAGGACAGATATTCTAACTGTACTCACCTTTGTCGTGGCCCTCTGAAGAGTCTACAGCACCTGTCACACCCAAGCACCTAGAAGCTCCTTTAAGAGGGACTGTCTTGTTTCTCTTTATTCTCTTCAAATTGTCAACAATTGAAAAGTGTTTGTGAATAGAACAGTGGTAATTTCAGAATTTCTATACAGGAAGCACTTAAGGGTAGCAGTCAGAAAGGGCCAAGGAAATTTACCTTGAAACTACATCTTCAATTGACATTTAATGTTTTTATTTAGTATTGAGTTATAAATTCTGAAAAATGATTCTGAAAAATTTGTTCATACTTATACAAAATTGAGAGAAAATTAGCTTTCCACATGGAAGATTATTATATTAACTTATTTGGAGAGCACTAACACATTCCCTTCTCCCCCAACCTCATAGGAAGGGAGGAATCGAGAGAGAAAGGGATGTAGGGAAAAGCAGATTGAAGGATGGATCATGAACTGCTTTTGAATTACAATATTATTTGTGCTTTTAGTGGTCAATAAAGTGCTGGTATTTATTAGAGCATTAATAGCTGCCCTCCTAATACCTTTCCCATAAGCTAGTCTGCTTCATAATTTGTGTAAGTTATTTTCTGTAAAAGAAATTATTTTTTTACTTTTAAATACCAGTATCACCTATAAATTCTATTCTGTTTATTATATACAAAGTGCTATGGGTAACTATTATTCAGTATGGATTTCTTAAACATCACTCATCATCGAGGATCCACATGATCCTGTTCTCTCCCTTCGTTAGTTACCTTATTTTTGGAGTTCTGGAAGCGGCGCCAGGCAGAACTTGAGTATGAATGGGACACTGTTGAGTTACAGCAGGAAGAACAACCCCGGCCAGAATACGAAGCACAGTGTACTCACGTGGTAATAAACGAGATTACCCAGGTAAGGGCAATGCCGTTTAAATGCAGTTTAGTCTGTTTACTGCAGTGGCTGTGCACTGGAATCACCTGAGGAGTTTTAAAAATATTGATGCCGAGTTCTATCACCACATACTCTGGCGGTACTTAGTAGCCTGAGTGTGTTTGAGATTTTTTTTTTTTTTTGAAGCTCCTATAATTGATTCTGACGCTCAGCCCGAATGAAGATACTTGAAACAGTGAATATAGGGGACAAATATTGTCCTTTCTTTTGTAATAAAGTTTAAAATGCCAAAAGGAAATTAGACTGTGACAGATGTGTGACAGGAAAGGTGCTTTGGATTTGATAGTTGTTTCTCATTTTTTCACATGCACTTCATTATAGTCCTTTATTCATCCTAAATTAGCCACCCCTTCATCTTGCACTAAGCCTTAGTTTCTACTCCACCTTCTGGTTGGGACATGCACAGAAAAAAGGATGAATGAGGAAGAGAAACATTTATTGAGGTTCAACCACGTCCGGTCCCTTGCTAGGCATATTATATCATTGGTGAGGTAGATTCGCTACTATCACTACTGCTGCAGAGATAAAAAAATAAAACTATGGATCTCTCTGTATATATGCCAAAGCTCTTGGAAAGTGATTTTTGAGTCTTCTGCATTATTGCTTCTTTCCATCAACACAGGAAATTTAGAGCTGATTGTGCTTGCAGTCATCAGCATTAGGACAGTAGGTTCAGAATACAAATAGCTCTTGGGAAGAAAATGCTTTCACCAAGAGCAGCTGAGAACATCCAACTATAGATTTCATAAATTGAATCAGAGATTTACAGAATGTTGGCACTAAAAGGGACTGGAGGGAGCAGTTCAACCTCCTCATCTTATAAATGGGAAAAAA